TTTTTTTTTTTTTTGAACTTTTTGTTATGAGCCGGGTTCGAAACCCGACCAGGAGAGGGAGATATGTACTTTTTCAATGGCACTAGCCATTGGGCAACAAAGGCCAAATGCATATATGATTTTAGTGTTTATTAGTTAGACTTGTAAAAAAATTAAGTGGAAAAATATTTAAAATTATATTGTTTCAATAAAATATCATGAAAAAACTACAACAGCCTTATTTCTACTTTAAAAATTAGAATATTTTAGTTTGTTTTAATGTAAATTTATTGAGATGATGTAATTTTAATATTTTTTCACTTAATTTTTTACAAGTTTAGATGATAAATATTTTCCCTATATATAATATATATCCAATAACAATTTTTTTTTTTAATATTTTTGTATATTCAAAAGATTAATGTTTTTATAAGGACGAGGAAGGATTTGGTCTCCTAAAAAAATAATTACCTTAAAAATTATGTACAATATTAGATCCTATATTTAGAGAATATATATAATTAACAACATAGACAATAGATCATAAGCAAAGAAGAAAAAATGTTTAAATTTAAATTTTAAACTAAATTTTTTATAGAATTTATTAAAATATATTTCAATATCCTGCATGAACGACCTTATTTTTATAGAATTTTTATTTTAATCAAAATTTTGTCCATACATACGGAAGATTAAAAAAAAAAAAAACAACGAAAATACATATTAGAAAAAGGAAAATGTTAGAGTGAAAATGAGGGAGAAAGCTCATAAATTGAGTAATAAGGATAAGTAAATTTTTAAGATTGATCAAAGATTTACATTTAAGAATATTGAAATTAATTAAGAACGCTTTTATTATTGTATTTAATGGGAAAAATGCATGAGAGGAGGGGAATGGAAACCATTAGGTCCTTTAATTAGGAATAAGAAAAGTAAAAAAAGTGAAGTTTAAGGACCAACCTTTAATTTTTCTTATTTCCTTCGCACTTTTTCATTTACCTTAAAATTCTAATGTTAAATATCTAATTTAAGATTATACAACCAATTATAAACCAAATTTCATTAACAAGAACCTTTACCTAAAAATGGAGTCAATTAAACCTTAAATAAAATAATAGTATAATAAAAAAAAGCATATATATTTGGATTATGAAAAAAAGATTTTTTTTGATAGGAAATGGAGAAATTATATTAAATAATAAAAAAGTACAGAAAAAACTCCATAATAGGGCATGTAGTCTGAAGCATTATAGACAGAAGACAAATTAGAAGCATAACCTATAACACTAGTAACAGATTTAAACTATACCCATGATAAATACAAACAATTAAGTAAAAAAAGCCATCTGCAACTAGGGATTGCAATTGCAATCGCTGTATGGACTAAATAGTGTTACAAATGTAGAAAGGAGAGTCCGTATGAGCATCAAAAGCTACTGGACACCCTCACCTATTTAACCAGCTTCATGAGAAGAGCAAGGGATTCCGACAACAAACAATCGTCAACTTGCAGGTTGCCACCCTATTAAGGGAACTAGAGCCCCTTTGCCGGCTTGAATATCATGCCTCCCGTACAAACCAAAATCGTCAACACCCACGACATCCCTTCCCTTTCGTATTCGACTATCTAATCTAAAATTGGAATGGACTAGCGTTGCCGAATTCGACCTTCACCAAGATCCCATTCGAGAAGATAGCCAAAAACAAGGTTCCTACTCGTTGAATAGAAGAAACCCAATCCATTGACAAGATACCCTCGTTACAGCCTTCAAAAATTAGCCACAGATGTAGATTTGAATATGTCACTGCCTTGTGGTCCCTTGGATTGAAGTTTCCAAAGCAAGACAGTCGACGAAGGTGAAAGATAGATTGAAGAGGAAGGTAAGGGTAAGAAAAAAGCAGAAAAGAAAGAACTTCTTTGCTAGAGAGAAACCTTAAGGAGGAAAACTCATCGCCTCTGCTCTTAACCCTGAGCAGAGTACAGGAGAAACCCTAAGCCCTTGTTTGGATAGAAAATAGTAAAGGGAAGGGAAGGGAGGGGAATGGAGGAAAATAAAAGGACATGGAGGGGGAGGAAAAGAAAGGGAAGGGAAGAAAATAGAAGGAAATGATTTGTGTTAATTTTGTTTGGATAAATAAAAATGAGGAAGGGGAAGGGAAGGGAAGGATTATATTATTTTATGTTTGGATAATTAAGATAAAAGGAAAGGAAGGAAGGGAAAGATTTAAATTAATTTTAAATTTACAAATTTATCCTTTAAGCTTGTAATGGAGAAGGATATAATAAAAAAATTAAGGTTAATTTTGTAATTACATTTAACTTAATCTAAACAGTTACTCAAATCCCTCCCAAACCCCCCAAATCGGACGGATTGCAAATCTGCAGATTTGAGAGTAGTTGGAAGGAGTCCGAATCAGTCCATCTCCCTCCTCCTCTGCCTCTTTCGAAACCCAAACAAGAGGAAGGAGACAGCCCCCCTCGCTCCCCCTCCCTTGCCATCCGTCCCCATCCCTTCTCCTCCCTCTCCGTCCGACACCTCCAATCCAAACAATACCTAAGGGGGAGAAGCCCCAGGGAGCCCAATTAACTTTTTTTTATGAAAAAAAAAAAGATTATTAAAACCAATTTTAAACTAAGTGTCGAAATTTTATAAGAATAATAGTATCCTATCCTTTAATTAGGTTTTCTCAATTCTATTAATACCTTTTTTTTTTTTTTTTTAATGTGGCTTTGCATAATTTTTTGAAAAAGTATTATTGATGATTACAGTTTTCAATCTAATTTTAATTATTTAATTATAATTTTTTTTAAAAATTATTATAAAATTCAATAATTAATAAAAAAAATATAAAATTTAACTTCTAATATAAAATTAAAAAAATAACCTGTGCAAGCGGCAGGGACAAGAAAGAAACTAGTGTTGGTACTAAACTTGTTCAAAACTTGAAATATGGCATTTAACGAAAAAATAAGAAAGGAGTGGGGTAGATTTGCGAAGTCGTCTTCCGAGAGCCGTAAACAGATAAAAATTCAACCACCATCACTAATAGTCGGCGGAAGCTTGAGTAAAAGAGGGAGAGCATCTGAACGGAAAATCGGCGAAGCAGAGGGTGATCGGTGCCCAAATCCAACGCGAGAGAAAAGGATTTCCTCTGGTAATCGTGTTGCTGAGCTAGAGAAAGTACAGCAGAAATACGGGACAAAACTCAGAGAATCAAGGAATTTATGGAGCGGTAGAAGAAAGTCAAGCAGAGGAGAACGTTGGAGATCAATCAAAGGGAAAAGAAAATTCGAACCTTGCTGATTTGAAGGTATTACTTCTTCCGATTTTGGAATTGATGTTAAGGCATATCTTTGGGCTTGAATTTTATCCTGTGTTTGTGTTTTATTTACCCATAATGGATGAATTTTTGATGATTTTAGTGAGCTCTTTGTGTGGTTGAATATATTGCTACCCTCTGTTTTATGAGTCTGGCGGTTCTGTAATTGTTTGGCATTGAGGTCTTTCTTTTACAATTTATCCACTAGTTGAGATTGTTCATGATTAAATGCTTGTTTCTCCCCCAAGTTAGCTCAGATTCTTGCGTAGAACGTTCTGTTGCCTTAGATTCAAATATGTGTTTTCAATCTCTCAAAAGCCGGTAAAAGCCGGTGTGCTTTAGTCTCAATTTCTTAAAGTCTTTTATCTTGTTTCATCTTGAATGTGGCGATAGTTGATTTGTTTGGTTCTATTTGCCATAAAAGTAGTTCCGTGGTTGATTCTAAACTGAGGTTAATTTGACTTGGATGAATTTCTAATTGAATTTGTACTTGACATATGTTTTAGGAGAGTCATCGTAGGTCCATGTAATACGGATGAGAGAACCGAGTGAAAATGAGGGAAGAAAGGATAGAAACAGTAAAGACTAAAGAAAGGGGAAGAGAGGTGAATGCAGTATAAAAGAGGAGTCTGGGAAACATGAATAACAAGAAACAAAGAGGGCTTAATAATAAGTTAATTGAAGGAGAATAAGTAGAAGAGACTTTTAGGGAAAATCCATAAAATTTTAATAGAAAAAAGAATTTAAGAGATTAAAATTGGAAAAGAAAAGATAAAAATACATAAATCAAAGATTTTTATAGGATTGTTTGCTTCCGTGTTATGTTCTTTGCTTCATTCTTGTGGACAATGTCATTTACTTTTAAAATTAACCTAAATGATCCCTTGAGCAAAGGCTCCCTATTGAAGCCCTCGTTCAACATTGATCAAAGAAACTTAAAAAAATAATAAAATTGGATAAAATATAAAAGTAGTCAATATAGACCTTAGATAAAAATAAATAAAATTGGTAAAAATGTAAAAAAGTCAAAGTCAAAGTTAATGGAAAGTTGAAGGTAAAAATAAAATAGTATAATAAATAAATACAAGAAATAAAAATGAAGATCACTTAAATGAAAATAGCATAAATCAATAAAGTTCCCAAATTTAATGTATGCAACGAGCCATGGGGTGTGCTTATGTCCTTCCCAAATTCAATCTATCTCCAACTTAGGTGACCTATTCCACCTCTATTTGTGTGGGTGGCTACTCAATTCATTTTTGCTAATCAACAGCAGCATTTATATTCCATTGTTGATACATTATTCTTAAGTGCTGCCAGTTAGAGTGCACTTCTCTGTTTTCTAAGTAGAAGTGAAGAGATGCAAAGGATTGTCAGAATTTACTTTTGAGGCCTAAGTGTTGAAGTTGCATTGACCATAGAAGAGTTATTTAGATTTTAGACCTTGCTTCTTGTTGAAAACGGTAGTGGCCGGTTCTTTCGATCTCCCCTAGTCAAAATGCAAGATTTAAAGTTCTTATCATTTAATATGTCATAGTTCTTCTGGTGGACCTCTCCTTAGACTTCTAGGGTGTCTCTCTTTGGATTGTAGAATAAAACAAACAGGGCAGTCTTATGTGCTAAGGGTCTACTTACCAGATATAAGGTTTCGAGAAACCTGTTTAGTTAAGCTACTGGTTTTAAAAAGTTTTCAAACCTACAACTGGTTTTGGCAATTTATAAAAACCTTTTGGTTTCAGTTTTGGTTTTCTACTTTCGACTTTTTTGAATTTCTCTATTTTGTTTGGTCTAGTAGTATAACTCTGTTAGTGTGATCTTGTGGAGATTAGCAATTTGAACACAATTTGTCAAATTTGCTCCTATTTGCCACCATCTTGTAGATACTATCCTGTCCTTGTTTGTCACCATTAGAAGATACTGCCCTCAATTGCATAATGAGAGACAGTTGACATCGTTATTTGATACTTCTGCATTGGCTCTAAAAATGTATATAGACTTGATACATAGCTTCATTCTTGTCATCCCAAGACTGTTTGGTTCTTCAAATGTTTTCTTTTCACCAATTACTTTGTCCTTGTACTTTCATGAACTTTAACTGAAAGGTGTTAGACCCAAAGTGCAAAATCTAGAAAGTGATAGCATCCTGTTTACTCATGCTAAAGTGGGGTTTTGGAGGAGTGATACAGATATGGTCCAACTCCTAGCTTCTAAGGTTTTTATATAGAAATGTTGCTTTTAGGAGTTGAATATTTGTTCTTGCACTTGATAGTTGGATCTGTTCTTTTGATGTTTTTCTTTCATGTTGTTGCTAGATTTTTTCCTTTATTATCAACAACTAACACGGGAACAATTAATGATTGATCAGCAAAAGAATATGGAATGCTAAGTAGAAATTGTTTATTCACTGTTGCAGATGCTTGGAAAAGCTCTTGGAATTCCAGTGAATAGTGTAAGGACATATACAGAAGCTGGGATTCATGCAGGGTATGTTGACAATTTTCAAAAAAACAGATTGTTTGCCATTTGTCTGCTAAATATAATTGCTTAAATCAATTTGTAGAAGGCGCTCTTTCAAATCCAATGGGTGGATGGAAGTAAAAGTGAAGAATGCAAGTCTACTTGGTTCCAATGGTGGTGCTCAGGATTTTCAATTTCGGCCACCTCTCCAAAAAAACAGATTGTTTGCAATTCCCAACAGAAATGATGGTCACCCATCTTCCCAAGTGTTAGAAGAAGACATTAACAAAAACCATGCACCCTGTTCAGAGGCTGAGACATTATTTGGCAAATGGACACCTCCTGGGTACCTATGGAGGGGGTTATCAGTTCTTGTCCTGGCAGGGCAAGTTATTACTAGGATTCTAACGGGCAAGGTACACTGGAAAAATACTCTCCAACAACTGGAGAGAGTTGGCCCCAGATCAGTTGGGGTTTGTCTTTTGACCTCAGCATTTGTTGGAATGGCCTTCACTATCCAGTTCGTTAGAGAATTTACCAGATTGGGTTTGAACAGAGCAGTTGGTGGGGTATTAGCACTGGCCTTTTCAAGGGAGCTGAGTCCAGTGATTACATCAATTGTGATTGCAGGACGAGTTGGAAGTGCATTTGCTGCTGAGTTAGGGACCATGCAGGTTTCTGAGCAAACTGACACACTGAGAGTTCTTGGGTCAAACCCCATTGATTATTTGGTGACTCCAAGGGTGATTGCAACCTGCATAGCTCTACCATTGTTGACTCTGATGTGTTTTACAGTAGGGATGGCATCTAGTGCCCTTCTGGCCGATGGTGTTTATGGGGTTAGCATTAACATTATATTAGATTCAGCTCATAGAGCACTCAGAACATGGGATATAATCAGTGCAATGATCAAGTCCCAGGTTTTTGGTGCTATCATATCTGTTGTGAGCTGTGCATGGGGAGCTACTACTTTAGGAGGTGCCAAGGGGGTTGGAGAGTCAACAACTTCAGCAGTGGTCATCTCACTTGTTGGCATCTTTATTGCTGATTTTGCACTCTCTTATTGCTTCTTCCAGGGAGCCGGAGATTCTTTGAAGAATTTTTGACAATTTTGCATAAAAATCAGTTGATCGTGTTGTTTATTGATATCTTTGAAGTTGGCTGATCACTAATAAGAGAGTGTAAATGATTATAGTTCCAAGCTTGATCATTATTTGGGCATGAGGTCTTGTTTGCCTTTTTTGATTCTTGACGTGGGTGATGGTAAGTAGGCACAATTTCAATAATTGAGCCTGTTTAGTCTGTATATTTTCTTTAAATGAAATATTAGGTATAGTTGTTAATTATATTAGCAAGACAGATCTATTTTCTTAAGGAAGACCTCAAAGCAATGTGTGTAGGGTTTGAATTTAGTTGTTGATGCCCGCAGATGAAATTGAACTGCCATTTTAAATTCTTTTGCTTGATATAAATCCAAATTGTCAGAAAACTTAGCATTTCCATATGGCATATGCTTCTGCTATTTCCATATAAGGCCGTGTCTCTTTTGCTTTGAGTTTGCAGGGAATGGTGCCTGAACTTTTGAAATTGTTATCACTGTAGTCCTTGAACTATGTCATGAAATTGTATACTTTGTTATATTCAAATCTTGTGTTTTTTCACTCCAAATTGCCCTTTCATCAGATGTTTCTTGCATTTACTCTTTCTGCAAGTTTATGTTGCGTTTATGCTTTCTACAAGCTTTTCTTTGTTTTCTCTTCCTCTTTCTCTTCCTCGTTCTCCTCCTCTTTCTCTTCCCTACCTTTCTCCTTTCCGTCTAGAGCTCCGGCAGTTTTTTGTCTTCAGTTGTTTCTTCTGTAGATCCAGCACGAGGGACGATGGACAAGAAGAAAAGGAAGGTGAAACTTCTCTCTTTTAAGTTGGTGAATGGGTGTGTCCAAGATTGTGCTAATTAATCTTTAGGAGTAGATTGAAATGCATCCAATACAATATTAAAAATTTTGACTGAACAAGCATGTGAATAGAAATAGCTTTTAAGAAGCAGTCAGGTGATCTTTTTACCACATTTCTTTAGTATTTCAATGGTATTAAAACTGGTCTTTTTATTTCTTCTTTATCTCCGTTTGGGCATATAACTTTGTGTTTTGTATGATTGTAACTCCTTATTTATCTGGATTTCCAGTAGCCATTTAATTTATGATATGATGATAGGATATTTCTATTATATTAAAAAAATATTGACAACTATTTTCAATTCACAACTAATTTAAACGAAGGTTTTCTAAGGCGTGTGACAAATAAAAAAGAATAAAAGGAGTAAATTTTCAAGATGTCAAATGAGTCAAGAAGCTCGACTCGAACCGAACTGAAACGATTTGAGCTCAATGTCGTGAGTAGCTCACTAGCTATTCGATTAATGTATATAGAATTATTAATTTTAAATGAGTGGTTTAATAGTTAAAAATTTAAAATTTCAAGTTAAAAGATTTTAAATTTGAGCTTTTAGTTAGATAAATTAAAATTTGAGAACATGAGAAAGATATCCCATTTTGTAAAAGTATAATCCATAATCAAATATAACAAAAAAAAAAAAACATATACAATTAGTAATCCATATATAAAGTAATATTAATTGATTTGATCTTATGGCTTAATTGAAATAAAGCTAAGGAAGTACAATTGAACAAGCAATACATGGAGGGACTAAATTAAAATAAAATTAAAAATTAAAATTTATTTAATCTAAAAAAAAGAATTTACTTAACACAAATTTTATATATTATATTTATACAAAATTTTAACTATTTATTTTTTTAATAATTAAAATTAATCATGACTTTTATATGAAAAAAATAATTATGTTTAATAAATATGATAAAAAGTAAATAAGCCTCAATTATTAAAAGTAAAAAGATAAAATAAATAAGAATTTATATAAATATGATCTGTAAAATTAATATATAAATAAATCTTAAGTCATTTAAAATAAGTTACTAATGCAATAATTTAAGTAATCTTATAGTAATTTTTTAAATAAAGAAAAATTGGTTGTAGTGGACATAACATTTAGGTGTAGTAAAATAAGTAGTCTTCCATAATGCAATTAAAAATAGAGAAAACTATTTTACAAGGCAAGTTATATGCATATTACTTTGTAAAATTATTTAAATATTTTTAATTTTATTTTTATATTATTTTATTAAAAACATTTAAATAATTTTACAAAATAAACTATATATAATCCACATTGTAAAATAATTTTTTTGTCAAAAATAAATCTTAAAAAAAAACATTAATAGTGACAGGTCAAACTGGAGGGGAGATTAATCAAATACTTTTGAACTTGACCTTGCTTAAGTATCTTTGTGCTCAAACTGAAACTCCACATTTCCAAACTTGGCTAATTTAAAATCCTACATTCCTACATACCACATCGCCCCCTTTTCAACCAGGATTTACGTGGAAAACGTTTCGTTGGAGAAACATTTGCATTTACCCCAAATTTAGGTTAGCCGGTTAATATCAGAATACTCTTCAAGATTTCATAACAACCTTGAAACTTTGAAAGTCTCAGTTAATACACAGAGTAAGCGTGGCATTTTGGGAATTTTCTTTTTTTTTGGCCATGACATTTTGGTCATTCACAACCAACAAGGAAATATCCAATGAGATGGCCTCAACCACAACTACTACTGGACAAGGAAGGTGTTTGACAAAGTTTAAAAAATATTTGTTTTAAAAGTAAATTTTTTTATAAATTTAAAATTTTATTAAAAAAAATTAAAAGTTAACTTTTTAAGATGTTTTTAAATATAAGATTTTTAAAATTTGTTTAAAAATTACTTTAGAAATTCATTTTTAAATTTTTTTAATAAAATTTTAATTTTATGAAAAAAAAATTATTTTTTAATAAAATATTTTTTAACTTGTGCCAAACACTCTAAAAAGAATAAAGAGAAAGCCTGAAAACAAGCCATCAATTAAAACGGATGCCTCTCCTTGTTGCCCCTTATGAAGCCTCATGCTCACCCTGCATCCAAGATCAACAACACCACTGTAAATGTATACACATTACGCTTCCAAAATGTCGAAAAAGAAATCCCAATTAATTACCTATTATTAACTTACTTTCTTATGGACGAGGAAGTCCACAAACTTGTTCTTGGCCTTGCCATCTGGGGACCTATTGTCAAGGTCATGACTTTTCACCAGCCCACGTTTCTTTATCTGCTCTCTAACAAATCTATCATATATGAATGCCGCCCCTCTGAAGTAAGGCAGGGCCAGCCATGCTACAAACACTAGCTTCACCGTATACCAAATTGGTATCCTGTCAAAGAAAATCCCAATAAAACTCGTATCGAGAAATAAAACATCAGAAATGTTGTGCGATCATATGGGTACAGGCACCCTTATATAGCAACAAGCCCTCCTCATCAATTGATCTTGGTTTTGCAGATTTGTACAATCCATAGCGCAAAACAGCAACCTCATAAAACAATATAAAGTTTCTCATTTTGTTCCCCTCCTCTCTAGAAGAAAAATTACCACTCTAAAAGGGGTTGGAGAACCATCTCTGCCAGAGTCAGAAATGAATACAGAATCCAATAAGCAAGCCACTGCTGATCGTCCCCCTTGGATGGGCTCTCTATGGCTATCACTGATGCATACAAAGGATAGAGTAACATCACCGCTGGTCTGCAAGTATTATTGTGTAAAAATAATTAGTTAGAAATTAAATTGACTTCATCAATCTAATCAAAGTCTAAACTAAAACAATTAAATCAACAAAATCTTAGCTGAATTGATATAAATTCCAATTAAAAACCAACTTAAGATCTCTTTTCTTCAAAGTTCAAACTAAATGGCTAAGTTTCAATGTAAAAAAAGAAATTAAATTGACTTCATGGATGCTTACCCAGCAAGGGAGTGAACATGGGTGAGGAAAGTCCAAAAGCGCCCCATTTCGTTTTTCTGTTCACTTTGGTTAGGTTAGGTTTTCAGTTGAAAAGGGACAAAACCGAGATTGACACACAGAAAAGGGGAGAGAATCAATGGGAACACAGTTGTTCATTCCTAAATATCAAGAGGGAAGATCTGAGAAGTGGTTTATATATAGGAGGGTGTCTATGAATGCTCGTGGCCGTAGGGTGCGGCGGAATCGGATTCTGCCATAAACGTGTCCACCGAAATTTAAGCAATTAGCGCCGTCCAGATAATGGATTAACAAAGTACACGCTAGACTTTGGAAATTAATACTCCATGTGGGGTGGCAAAGTTAGGGATCAAGATTAGTGTATTTAGTACAAAATCTAATGCGTTTGTTCTTTTCCCCAAACACAAGCCACGTGTTGATGTGGTTCGAGGCAAAGACTAGGGAGGTCGGTGACACGCGGCATCATCCATGTGAATCCAAGTATGTCAGAACAATTTGTCTTTGGAAAAAGAGAAAAAGCCTGAGCTTTGCCATTGGGCATACGGCAATGCAATGGACAATTAATGAAAAAAACTTTTTTTTTTGGATGAATTGAATTAAATTATAAAATAATAATTTTTAAATTAAAGATATTTTTTATATTAATTTTTTTTGTTTAAAGGGTTTCTTAGAGATATGCATAAAAATTAAAAAAATTAATTAATTACTCTTGCATTTAGAGATTTTTAAGTATAAAATATTTTCCTTTCTACACTAAACACATAACTTGTTACAAAAGAATTTTCAAAATTTTCAAGATGATTTTCTCTTGCGATAGTTTCTTTACTTCCAATTCATCAATCTACTGATATTTTGATTCAAAATTCCATGATTTCATTAAATCTAAATTTTGATAATCATCATTAAAAAAAAAACAAGGACAAATGAGACCCTAAAAGTATCGATATACCCAAATCGATCATTATCTAACAGATGATGTCATCACCGTCACGATCTCCGTTTAGTTCGTGCCAGCGTGTCATTTTTTTACATGCTAGATGCTGATGTGTACCAATCCCGCTCTTTTCACACACCGTGTCATTTGCGTGCCATTTGTTTGACAATATGACTGGTGGATCCCACTCTTTATCCCATTTTTAACTGATATTTGATGACCAACTTGTTTGCCCTAGTTCAGAGTTTTCAAAGTTGGGGGTTAGGGTTCTATTCAAAACCACAAAACCGCAAGGCTTTCTCTCATTTCTGCAATTCCTTCCTGAAATTAGTCGAGGGGAAAAGATTGTGGGTGTTTGTGAGTTTATTTGCATGGAATCCTCCTTTAATTCTGGAGTTGGACCTTGTCGAGCCTCTGCTGGTGCAAGTGATAGTGCAATGGCGAGAACAGTTGTGAGGGATGTTGGGCTGGTTGAGCACAACTATGAAGGTCCTCAAATGTACTGTGAGTGTGGCTTCAAGGCACCA